TACTGCACTGGACAGCATGCAGCTAGATTCTGACAAAGCAGATATTGAAGTCCTGACAGGTACAATATCTTTACTCTCTAAACTTATTTTCTTATGCACACCATGAGGAAGGAGAGATGTGTGTGTTTTAATCTCAGCCGCTTTGCTGTTTAATCCATCTTCTACAGAATCTGAGCCAGAATCAGAACAAGATGCCGATTCAATGAAGGAGACATGGTTAAAAGATGACATGACAAAGCAGGAAGGCCTCACGTTATGAACAACAATTCCTTGAGAATGCGCTATATTAACAATTTCTACAATTTGCCTAAATATGTGCAAGCATTCATAGACATCCACAGACCGATCAGGTTTATCTAACCACTGTCTGAAGCTAATATCACCCCATCCTATAGAGTGAACAAAAGGGTCAATTGATACATCACCTCCGCACGCCCCAGATAAACCACCCAGGCGTGTGGGCTGATCACCCTGAGCCAACCCTATTCTATCTCTTTCTCTTATAAAACCTGAGTCCTGTGACGCCTCACCAGAAGTGGTGTTTTTTTCAGGACAAAGAAGCCTTGTGTTCCTGTCTGAGACTCCAGAAGTATTGAATGCCCTAGAACTGTCAGACTTCTGCCAACCAGACCCAGAAGAACCCTCCATTTTTTATTTACTTTTGAGTTGCATGCAAGCCGCGAAATTCGCATCCAATATTCGGAGGAGTTCTCCAACTTCTACTACAGTCTTGCACCTCGACCGTCGACATCGTGACTTAAAAACTCATTTCGATGGTTCCCGAGATAACATAAAAATCCCAAAATCATGATCAACTTATCCGGCGGTGGAGAATCTACGTGATGAGAAGTTCCTGCCAAGCACCAACACAATTCACAGACTGTTCAGAACGCAATTTCAGCAGTGCGATTACCTAGTAAGGAGAACAAATTAGAACAGTCAGAAAACGGAAACAAAACGCTAAATCTATCACAAATTTCCCAGTTAATAACAGAAAACTCCAGAACAAAATAGCACAAATAGAGCTCTCGAAATGAACTACAAATTCTAATGAACTACAAATTCTCAAATTCATCAGAACCCCATGCATCCATAGCGCATTAAGAAATTAAAACAAAACAAAAAACACAGATAGTTATATACATCAACCGGTAGAGAAGTAACAGTGAGGGAGGGAGCGAGAGAGAGTATACCAAAGCCACCATAGGAGGATCCCCTGCTTCAGCTAGGCCAGACTGAGAACGGAACCGCACAGAACTATTTTTTTTCTTGATACATAGCCACCCTGAAGCTTCACAGCCTCATAAATTCCTCGCATTTCAGATGAAAAGAAAATAAAAAAGGAAAAAAGGAAAAGCAGACAAACAAAACAAAAAAAATCTGCAGAAACCGTTTTGAGAATTATGAAAAAAGCACCTGTTTATCTCGTCCTCTAAAAATAAAAAAGTAATTTTGACGGGATTTCCCTTTTTTTTAATATCATTTCTTTATTGCATTCACTGTATTTTTTAAATCCAGAGCACTCTTATCCTCGCGCTTTATTCCAGATAAGCGACGTGGCACCACCATGCCCTCTAGGAAGCCATGGAAAGTGCCAGTTGAGTAATTTTTTAATAATCGGTGGGCCATATAATGAAAATTTAAATAATAAATAACCTTCGCCAGTAATTACTAAAAGTTGGTGCCTTGTCCTGGAAAGCAACGCCCCTTACCCAAAGAGGAAAATGAAAATCATTGGCGAAGCCGAACCAATGAACAATTGAAAAATATCGAGATTAGCTGAACAAAGCAGCGGAATCGAATCTAATAATCCAAAAAAGTCAGTAGAAGATTGTAAAAAGTGGGCAATTCAACACAAATAATATAAATTATTCCTTATTGAACAGAGAACTTCAATAAAATCAATGCCGATTAACAGGTAATCATTGGTTAATTACGATACTTTTTTATTGCTAGCTGCTGAACTAGACGAGATAATGCATGGATGAATGTGAAGACTTGCTTACTTGTAAAACCAATATCAACATGGGAAGCGCTGAAATGTGGGTCAGCTCCAACATTCGAGCTTTCCGTATAATTCATCATTTCGGAGAATGCAAAATGCTCTGTTTTAGGATTAAGCGATTTCTATTTTTTTTTTTTAACCAGACTCCGGTTTTTGTCATTTTCTGTGCAATAGACATTGAATGATCTGGAAGAACAGTGGAATAATAGTAACTATATCAGAAATCTTTTCTCAGGGTCTCTTCAAGATGGAAACATTATTTTCGTCATTAGTTATTCAAAATTTCAGGAAGTTGCTTCTATGAGTGCAATTCAAATTATATTAATTGGCACGGCATGGCATGGCAGATTGACAGCCACTTAAATGCCTATCCAATGTTCATTTTTTCTATACCAAACTTGGTTAAGTGGGTATTTAGCTGTATGGCCAGTATGAGAATGTAATTTAATGCTGATAATGAAAGGTCTCAACTTTGAAATTGATTTAATGGTTTTTGACTACACAAATATATATTTGTAGCTTTTCTTCAGTGACATTGTAAAAAATCATCACTTTTGTTGATTAATACTCAGTAAATTAAATTACTGCATATGATAAAAAGATTGATTCTTTCGATCGACCCTCAACATATATTTTTGAAGTTTTTATCAATAAAGTTATATTTTATACTATTAAATGTGATAATCAAACAATTTTGCAGATTCAGCGTTAGGTTATGGAGTTAATTAGTGGCACCAAAAACCAAAAAAAAAAAATAACGTATGGCAAAGAGAACCGGAGCTTCATGTTTCAATTCGGACCACTGCATTCGAATCTGAAAACTGTTTGTGATCTTATGTGAACAGTACCACCTTTGTGAGATCTCATAAATGCACTTTGCCTGTTTCTCTCTTTGGATTCTTCTTCCTCTCTCTTTCTCTCTCCCTCTTGATCTTTTCAAGTTTCAAATCTCATTAATTAACTTAAGAAAAATGTGGCTGCCATTTTCTCTCTTATTTTCTGTTTTTTTTTTTTATTTTCATTCTCGCGAGAAAACTGAAACCAATGAAAGATAATGCTTTGCATCAACCATAAAATTAATTATGAACTATACAGTAGTGGTTGATCATTCGTCACCACGCACCATACAATTTTTAAGGAGAAAAATAAGGGAGACCGCAATATGGGAAAAAAAATCAAAGTCATGTTACTAGAATGTTCCTTTAATATGCTTCCCAAAATCTTTCTTTTTTTTTTTTGGAAAAAAAAATTGTGGAGCAGGATAAGCACAGAGCCAAACTCAAAATAGATTCGAAGCCTTTTTTGGGGCTTTCTTCAGTTCACCAAAAGAAAAATCACAGATGGTTATTAGTTTTAAATATCCGTTATTTTATTAGAAGAATGGCAAAACAAGGATGGCTCTCAATCCGTTTGGTACTCTCCTTGCTACATCATTTTGAGTGTTTGTTATGTAAACATCCTTAACTTTTACTTAGTTCCTTGAGATATTATATCACAGAGTTGTTGTCTCTAGACATTTCATCACTCTAGGCTGTGTTTGGAATTCCATTTATAACCTAGTTAAAACAAAAGTAAATTTGCAAAACTGAGTCTGCATATCCAATTCTAAAGACATGTTTGGATTGCAGTTTGAAACTGCAGTTGTGCCTTGAAATATATGAAACTGAGGTTGCAAACTGAGTTAGACAAAAACTGTTGTTTGGTCATGCTAACTTTTCCAACTAACTTTTGGTTTTTAATCTCACTTGGACTCAACGGAGAAAAATCTGATTTTTCAAATTGCAGTTTCAAACAGTGATTATTAAAAATGAGCATCCCAGATTTACTGCCACATTTTGCCCTCTGCCTCATCTCCTTCATCAGCATAATAAGCTTTTATTCAGACCAGATGAATTTTAATTTATATTTATGTTTGTCCATTATGTATATTTAATTAATTATCTACAATGTGTTTTCAAATTTTTCTTCATAACAAATATTTTTATTTTATAATTTCATAAATAAACTATTTATATTTTATCATAATAATTTTACGTATTTTTTAAACTACTATCACATTAAAAACATAAAATTTCAAACACTACTATTCAATAAAATCCATACCTTTTTCAGTCATTTTACAATTAAATCAACTTTTCTATTAATCATCTAAACAATTTTTAACTTTTTCAACTGACTTTTTAAAAACACTTATCCAAACATACCCTAACTGATTTTTACTCTAACTTCAATTATAAAAGTCAGTTGAACTAGAAGTCAGTTTTACCTTACGTCAATCCAAACATACTCTAAGCGGTGTTGGGAAAATTGGGGTTTAGAAGGCCTTTTAGTTTATAAAACATAGATTTCAAAGTAGCCAAATATGGTTGGAAGTTAAATTGAACTTCCCAATATAAATCCCAAGTTGGACCTTGAACTAAGATCAAAACATGAGTTAATTTGCATATATAATCCAAAGGTACTGTATATAGATTTTAACTAACCCAAGCAAGTTTGAATGAAATGATGTGAAATATATCCTCTAATCCAAATGATTATAGTTCATCACGCCACAAAGAAATAAAACTCATTACCTGATGAATTCAAAACGATAGCAACGAAGTATTTAAGAATAAAGCGGATAAGGTGTAATATCCTTTAAAAAAAAATTCAAAAAAAAAAGTAATTGAAAAATAAAATAATATAATATAATATAATAATATTTTATTATATATTATTTTTACAAAAAAAAATGAAAGCTCACGGCTTTCCACCGAATTCGGTGGAAAGCTGAGCGTTGAAAAGGGAAGGAAGAAAATGGGGGAGAGGAATTAATGAGGGAAGAAAAAAATGAAAGGTAGTTGGGGAAATGAAGGATAAAAGAGGGAGAGAAAGGCTGAATGAGTGCGTGCTGGAGAGAAAGAAGGAAAGAGAGTTTTTTGTGTGTGCGTAAGAGCGAAAGGAGCATACCGGTGAAGCAGAGGGTCAGCTTTGAAGATATTTTAGGTACATGAAATTATCTCTTTTCATCAATTTCATAATCAGGCACACCACGGGTCTCCACTTCCTCTCGAATGCTCAATAACCGGTCATCCTCCATCTGTGCAGCCTTCAAGTCTCGAAAGAACTCATAATCACCCAAAATTGATTGTAGAGTGGCTGGAGCCTCATGCATCACTTGGAGATCTCTCAATCTCTCTAAACAGTAGTATTCCTCCAAACTCAGGTGAAACACATGCACCGTTTTCCTACTCAAAGCGTCTGCAACCACATTGGCTTTACCTGGATGATACTTAAGCTCAAAGTCATAGTCCTTGATGAATTCCATCCACCGACGTTGTCTATTATTCAGTTCCTTCTGATCTATTAAATACTTCAGGCTCTTGTGATCGCTGAAGACTTCAAACTGTGATCCATATAAGTAGTGCCTCCAGATCTTTAATGCAAAAACCACCGCCGCTAATTCCAGGTCATGTGTAGGATAATTTTCCTCATGCGGCCTTAATTGCCTAGATGCATAGGCAACCACCTTTCCTTCCTGCATCAGGACACACCCTAAACCCTTTAATGAAGCATCAGTGTAAAGGGTGTACGGTTTACTAGGATCTGGAATAGTCAACACTGGAGCCGTGGTCAACTTAGCTTTCAGTTCTTGGAAAGCCGCCTCACACTTTTCACTCCAGATAAACGGTTGGTCTTTCTTGGTCAACTTAGTTAGAGGCATGGCGATTTGAGAAAATCCCTTGATGAATCTTCGATAATACCCAGCTAAGCCCACGAAACTTCGTACCTCCGTCACAGATTTTGGTGTCTCCCATTGCAATACGGCATCGACCTTGCTAGGATCAACAGCTACTCCCTCGGCAGATACTACATGGCCTAAGAATTTCACTTCTCTAAGCCAGAACTCGCACTTGCTCAACTTAGCATATAACTGATGATCCCTCAATATTCGCAATGCAATGTAAAGATGCTCTCGGTATTCTTCCTCATTCTTAGAGTATATCAGGATATCATCTATAAACACCACAATAAACTTGTCCAAGTACGGCCTAAAGATCCGGTTCATATAGTCCATAAACACCGCTGGAGCATTCGTCAAACCAAAAGGCATTACTAGAAACTCGTAATGTCCATATCTGGTACGAAAGGCCGTCTTCGAGATGTCCTCTGCTCTAACTCTTAATTGATGATATCCCGACCTTAAGTCAATCTTGGAAAACACCGCTGACCCCATTAATTGATCTAGCAAGTCATCAATCCTGGGCAAAGGATATTTGTTCTTGATAGTCACTTTATTCAACTGCCTGTAATCTATACACAATCTCAAGCTCCCATCCTTCTTCCTCACAAACAGTACTGGTGATCCCCACGGTGAGACACTTGGTCTAATAAATCCTTTTTCAAGTAACTCTTCGATTTGCTTTTTCAGCTCTGCCAATTCTGAAGGTGACATTCTGTACGGTGCTTTAGAAATTGGAGTTGTCCCTGGTACTAGCTCAATAGAGAATTCAACTTCCCTTTCAGGAGGTAAACCGGACACTTCCTCAGGAAATACCTCAGGAAACTCCTTCACTACCTCGATTTGGTCTATACCAACTTCTTTATCCGTACTAACGGAAAAGAAAACAGCATACGCTTGACAACCCTTTTGAATACACTTAGTTGCTTGAGTAGCAGACAACCACAAACGACCATTAATAGCCTCAACTATCGTAGTGCACAAAGGAAGAGTTACTATCTTCCTTTTGCAATCCAGAATGGCATTATTTGCTGATAGCCAATCCATGCCAATAATCACGTCAATACCCTTGAAGGGTAGACAAATCAAATCAATCACAGACTCACGATTCTCAAATTTAAGCACAAGACTTAAACACGCCTGTGTGGTTAACACAGTGGCTCCCGCCGGAGTTGACACTTTCAACATGTAAGACAAATCATGCATTGGAAATTTAAACTTTTGAGCACATTCCGCAGCAATAAAAGAATGAGTGGCACCAGAATCAAACAACACAGGTATATCATGTCCTTGAAGAGAGACAGTACCTCTAATCAGATTAGGAGACATACCAGCTTCCTCTCTAGTCAAAGCAAAAACTCTCCCAGGCACCGTGGATCTGAAACTAGGAGTTTGCTGCTGCATCTCTGGACAATTGCGAGCTATATGTCCGAACTTATGGCATCGGTAGCATTCCCAACACTGTCCTGGGTGATTTCTCCCGCATCTCATGCAAGGACCACTAACACTTGGGGTGGATCTGGTAGGCTCATGGTGGACACTCCGATCTCCCCCTATACGACTCCCTTGAGGCTGTCTCCTTTGCATAAAGCCTCCACGGGCTGAATTCTTTTGATTCTGGCTCTTGCCTCTGCTTGAGTTACCTGAGCCCCCATAACTGTAGTTATTCTTTTTATTAATTCCTCCCATTGGCCTCATAAAACCAGAGAATCTGCCCTGGTTATCCCGACGTCGGCTCTCCTCCACTTCTCGGGTTCTGCGGGCTGTCATCCTGAGTTTCGTGCAGGCATCCTCGAAACTCTTAAACTCATATAAAGCCATTTGCTGTTTCAACTCTGGCCTTGCTCGTTCTATCAATTGTCGGGCCATCCACTCTGGATCATCATTCTGCTGCAGGTAGGTAACATGCTTGGAGAGGTCAATATACTTGGCAATAAACTCATCCTCATGCATGTTCTCTTGTCGAAGAGCATAAAAAGCTGTTTCTTTTTCTTGTCTCATGGCTGGGGGAAAGTAGTGATCAAAGAACATCTGTTTGAATTCATTCCAAGTAATCCCCGAGTCATCTATGCCGCTTACGCTCCTCCACCACCTCTTAGCTCGGTCCCTCAGTAAAACTACCGCTGCTTGTACCTTTTGGTAGGTATTACAGCCACAAGCTTTAAATATTGTCTCCATGTCATCTATCCAAGCCTCAGCTTTGTCAGGATCCATACCCCCATCAAACGTCTTTGGGTGATGCCGCTCTATGTCCTTCCATACGCTTTTAAGGTTCACCGCTTCTTCTTTTCCTGGTCGCCTTTGTGAACTACTCTCTTCTCTGGTTCCTTCAATAGAACCCCTGTGGGTGACAGAATTTCTCACAGACGGTCCAGGAAGCCCACTCCCTTCAAACTCTTCCACAGCTTTCTTGACTCTCAAATCTTCCTCCATCTTTCTTACTCTTTCATCTACCACCGTAACTACCACTTCCCTTAACTGTTGCAGTAAAGTCTCTTGGTAAACTGTAAAGGATTTGGTGGTTGATTAGGTGGGTTTGTGGATTCATCTCCACCCTGATCGGTTTGTCGGGATCGCGTCCGTACCATCCTCCCCACTTAAGGATGGAACCCACCAAAAGAAACACAAAGTAAGGACAAACACAGACACAAAGTACCAGGGAAGGTTATGTGAGATTATTATATATTGCCACTAAATGCAATGTAATGCAACTCAGTTCGCAGAATCTTTGGCTCTGATACCAAATTGTGACAACCGCTCTTTCAAAACTATTTTAGATTAAATCTAACAATTTATTTGAATGATTAACCATGATAGAAAAGAAGAAACCTTAAAATTTTAAAATCGCTATCATGGTTAAAAGAAATAAACTTATAATAAGAGTAACATCGATCCTTACCTTGGGCCTTAGACTTCCAAAGTCCAGAAATATCATTCAACCATTAGCCCAAACCAAACTTATATTTTCAACCATACGAACTGATAAATCAGTTTAATATAAACTATAGAGCTCATTAGTCAAAAGTCAACACTTTCAAAGGAGCGTTACACGCAGAGTCTAAAATGCCTCGGGCCTACTCACGCCCTATCATACCAGATAGTAGTAATTAAAAGTATTATTTTACATCATGATGGTAGATGAGCCCTATGTGGCAATATATAACAAGTCAGCACATAGAACAAAAGCAGGGAGGCTATACAAGCTAATCAGCACACTATGCCTCCAGAGCCTTCCCTAATGGGCCATCACCTGAACTATCGCCTGAAAAATGTTAAACCACGGGGTGAGACAAACGCCTCAGTAACCAACTTTCCAACTCATCATACATACTAACACGTGCTCATGAGGTGTCAAGTGGGACAGTTATTAATTCTCGAGAAACATAGATATATCCATAGAAATATAATTTCAATCATCCAAACCCTCACTATGGGGGCCAACACACAAGCCACATAAGTCTATCCCTCACTTTGGGGGATCAATCAAACATATGGGCCTATCCCTCACTCTGGGGGACGAATAAGAAGCCACAAAGGCCTATCCCTCACTATGGGGGACGAAAGAAAAAGCCAACCAATGTGCACCAATGGCAGCCTTACCACGTGGTAGGATAGGACTCAATCCCAAAATCCAAATAACAACCAATCATTCACAATATAATAAAAATGTCTCAATCTTTTCTCAGTATCAATAAGATATAAATCATATATCTTTTTCAAACTTCTCAATCAGCATTCCAAAAATCCCACAAGACAATTTTCATAGCTCAAAAGATATAACATATCTATTCAAGTTTCAAATATCAAATATTATTCTAAAAATAGCAAAATACTCACAAACAACATATTAGCACATATAACAAGTGGAAAGTGGTTACCTCTCGCCAAAGCAATACTAAGGATTACCACAAGGTCAATCCTTTGCTCAACCAATAATTAATCTACACAATTAATATAACCACATATCAATATAAACTAATTAATTAATTAATTAAACTTCTCTATATCATTTAAATTTTACTCTAAAATCCCGCAACTCTCATAACTCAAAAATTATTAAGTATTTTAGAAACAACTTAAAATTTCTAACAACCCCAAATTATTTATTTACCATCTCCAAATTATTTACCTTAATAAAAAGGATTTTCAACAATTTCCAAATATAAAATTTTTATGTTATAAATTCTAAAAATCTTCATTTAAGTTTAAACCTCAAAATCAAACTATCAAAAATTCAATAATACTTCAAATATTTATAACTAAATAATATAATCAAAACTTTAATGGTATAACTACCATATATATATATATTTCCATAAATAATAAACTTTTTAGCTACAATAATTATTTTAAAACCTCCAGTCACCCAATAAATAAAACTAACCCGATTAAAACCTCAATAATATATCAAACAACCCAAATAAATTATTTAACTTAAATTTAATCGGTAAAAATATGGTATATCTCATACATAACAGATTTTCCACTAAATAAATTAATTTAAATACTAAAACTAGCAAATAGAGAAATCTAAACCGATTAAAATTAACAACTCATTTACTTCTAAATTTCTATAGTCATCTTTTATCAAAACTCAATACTTATATCATATATAAGTCTCAAAATTTTCTCTAATCACTATGGTAATACTACTATTATGAAGCATAAAATATATATGAAATATTTATGAAGAAAGTTTGATGAAAAGAGATAATTTCATGTACCTAAAATATCTTCAAAGCTGACCCTCTGCTTCACTGGTATGCTCCTTTCACTCTTACGCACACACAAAAAACTCTCTTTCCTTCTTTCTCTCCAGCACGCACTCATTCAGCCTTTCTCTCCCTCTTTTATCCTTCATTTCCCCAACTACCTTTCATTTTTTTCTTCCCTCATTAATTCCTCTCCCCCATTTTCTTCCTTCCCTTTTCAACGTTTCCCTTTTCAACGCTCAGCTTTCCACCGAATTCGGTGGAAAGCCGTGAGCTTTTATTTTTTTTTTAAATAATATTAATAAAATATTATTATATTATATTATATTATATTATTTTTCAATTACTTTTTTTTTTTGAATTTTTTTTTTTTAAAGGATATTACATAAGGAAGGGAGAAAAGATAAGGAAAATAAGGCACATCATACCTATACATTTCTGAGTGATTCTAACGTGTGGAAGACATCCTGCTAGAGCATCCTACAATCTAAAGGTAATAGGTAGGTGAGGAGCTTTACAAGAATGGCCGTGTACTAGATATTGCAGGTACGAGTTAAAAAAACAGTACGTCATACGGAAAGTAACCTACACAGCTAGCTTGAGATGGCCTAATGGCTAATAGGATCAGTGGGAAATCCTGGAGTTTAATTTCTTCAAAAATGAGGGTTGAACTTCTAACTCTAGCTTTTGATTGGGGGGCATAATCTCTCCTGTTACAAAGAAGACGCAATATTTCAAAAGAAAAATGTAAAAGGGCTCGAGTTTTCTGACCAAGATCTGAAAGCATAACCAATCAGCAGCATGAAATATGAAAACAGTTGTATGAGCAGTTGTATGAGTTGAGTTTCTGCAGTAGACAGTTTAATGGATTAGTGTGAAAATAACATTCAACGAGTGGTAACTGAATCTGTTTATTGATATCAGAGTATCAATCCATTTACTAACACGCAACTCATGAAAAAAAAGAAAGTTAATACAGAACATAACCTTTATTATTTATGGCATATCACCGCATATGCACAAACCATCATAAAAATTGACAAATTCTTCGCCAAACAACGCCAAACCCTACCTCACATGCACTGATAAAGTTGCATCACATTCAAAAACTGCAGTATTAAGGTCAAATAACCACCAATTTCATTTCAAGAACGAAAACCATATCACTGCCTGTAACAATTCTAAAATCCAAAAGTAGCTTCTGTACCGTGAAATATTAACAGCATTACCTCAACATGTAACAAGACTCACAGATTACGTGAGCAATGCATATGTGTGTATATATATATGGAATTAAACTCAAGTAGAAGAAGCAGATAATCATGAAGCAACTGAAGGGAGAAAAGGTAATGAGGAAACATATTATAACATTTGTTTAGTACATATATTTTGATGCAGCCATTGATGAGAGGCATGTTAAAATTATTGGAACAGTCAGGTTTTGTATATGGCAAAAATGTCAACTTTAAGACAATGGAAAAGGCTGTCTCGCCACTACCCATCATGTCTAGCAATGAGTGGTGCATTGTCTAGTGTTGTGTGAGTGAGACAATAAAAATAAGCAACTAGTCAACTAGATGACCCCTATTCTTTAGGAAGATATGAGCAAGATTCCTGGTGGGATCCATATGCCTGCCTATTTGGTGATTTACTATGTCAATTTTCAACTCCAAAAAGTGATCTCAGTTAGGTTTAACATTTCACAATCATATACAGAGGCCTCTTACTTTGTTCATTGATGATTACTCCTAACTTGTCTTAGTGATAACTACTACATGCCGTTTCTCCAAATAATGCAATAGTTGGTCTTGAATTTATACCAACATGAATTCAAAATTTATTTATTAATTTCGTAATATAATTGCCAGGTAGGTAGTAACTAGAAATGCAAATAAAGAGTAAAAATAATAAAGTAATACTTTTTACTTTATTTGACATGCATTACAACTCAATATCATCCAATTAATTAGAATTATCTATCATGCTATCTTTAACTGTTGAATGATGTTGAAAGCAAAAAGACTTGACTTTTTAACCGCAATATTCTTTTTTGTGCATGGCTAGTAAGTCCAAATTATCAATGAGTACGTCAATTTACCACTGCCCCATATTTTAGCTTCTGTTCAGTTTAAGCTGAGAGCTCTTTTTAAGATGTTCTTTGTGCACATGCGGATTAGACATAAAAATCCGGTATTTGCCTCTTATAAAAAATGAAAATTTTTTAAACCTTTTTCTCAGTGTAACTATAAAATATTACAAATAAGTCGGCCCCAACAGAGAATATTTTAGTTCTCAAGATTGGTTCTGTGGGGAAAGTTAAATCATGACAATGATAATTGTTAAGTGATAAGAGTGTGTGTCGAGCATTTATTATAGGATTAGTGGATATTTCGGTCATCTAACCACGAAGTGGGTGATCTTGTTTTCAACTAACTAATCATATGATTTCTCATTTAAGCTAAAGTTAATTACTTTGGCTTTTTATCACCTTAACCTATAGGTACACAATTGACAATTTATACTATTCTTCGTGAATTAGCGTGTTTAACTTCAAAATAGTTGGATACGTCTTTCAATAAATAAAATAATTGATCGAAGTGCACCTAAATCGAATTTCACATAAGGCACCAAGAAATAGCTGAAGATAAATATAGGAATGCGAGATGGAAATGAATAGCTCAGATTTCAGATTATAGTTTATACGTTAGTCAACTATAATGT